GAGCAATGATGAAAGGTAAAAGCAAATTCAGAGCATCAGTAATGATACCAACATTCATACTCTGGCTTCCATCTTCAAATTCCATGCAAGAACCAACAAGAGAACGGAGAATAAGTTTTAAAAAGAGGGAACAGTAGAAAGGAAAAATAGATCAGGAGGTCACAACAGGAAGAGGGATCATCAATTTAACTTCGAGCTAAGGAGATCAATTAGAAAAGATCCAACTCAAGTCATAAGACCTTTGGCACGTGATAGAAGAGTTTTACCTATGACCGTCCAAAGAGCAGTGAAAAAAGGCTTGAAAATGAAATCGTACGTGAAAAGTGTGAGGCAAAATGTTACTCCAGGACAGAAACTAAGAAGGTTAGAGAGGGCGAAGATCATCTTAAATTAGTTGGAAAATGATCCTGGAGTAATATATATATTTGAACTTTACTTCAATCCTTCATGAGCTTCAAATCCTTAGCTATGATTAATTAATGATGAACATGATATTTTGGTTTATTTTCGATTTCATTACAATTCTTATGTTAAACTTGGAAAGTAATTATACATTCTTATTGTTCAAAGTAGAATACGATAGTGTTATAAAAACCTCGGAAAATTCCAGTAATATATTTTTAATCATTTCTAAGATACAATGGTTCAAAGCTTGATCTAACAATTAGCAATTTTGCTGTTACTCGATTTGGACAAGTTTGCCATTACACCCGGTATATATATATACACGCGAGTAGCATTCACCAGCAACTCATTGATTTTCTGTTTCTTCCTCGAAGCTTATAACAAGAGGTGAGATATAGACCTGTCCTTTCACATAGCCCCATAGAAAAAATCACAAGATGTCAATTCAGGTGAACGCGCTTGCAATTTCAACAGGTCACGACTAATACATCATCCTGATAGATTTTCATTGAGATAAGTGCTCAGTAAGGCTCTTGTTACGCAAGACATGCTACAGGGTGTTTGGGAAGAGCTTGACTACAGACTTGACGTCCGTCGGGTCACAGGTGATGTGCATATTGAACATTTGCGAAGCTTTGTGAAATCGGTTATAAAATCTAAATCCTTTTCTATATCTTGTTCTAAATTTGACGAATAAATATTCTATGGTTCAACATGAAGTCTATTTAATTTTGTTTGTCTGGGACATGTAGTTAGTCACATATTTATATTTTAAATGATGTCAACATTTTGGACCACCCTGTATATATATATATATATATATATATATATATATATCAACAAACACTCACACAAATATATATATATGCGTGTTCATATATATATATATATATATATATATATATATATATATATATATATATAGGAAAAGAAAAAAGAAATCAGCCGATTCTGCTACCTTGGTTTCAGCCTTTCGGTATCTTTTGGTGATTTCGATAAATTGATTTCCTAACGCTTTGTTTTGTTAAAAAATAAAATTTGTGAACGCTATATTTTAAAAATATATAAACGAATAAGCGTACGACCTGTGGAGGAGGAGGAGGAGGAGGAGAATCTAGTGTAATGGAAATGTATTGATGTGGTATTAAATGAAATATATATATATACGTTCTTTTTATCCTACTTCAAATAAACCCCCCAAAACTGTTGTGTATGATACACCTAATTTACATAAGCGGACTACCGACCATATAAATATGGGTTGGTACCGGAAGACGGGGAAGATAGTAGAGATTAAGAAATTGAATCCAGAGACTCTGCCCGACTGCGATTTAGTCAACCCATTATGCAGGAACAGTCTTCCCAAGAATATACCAAACTAACTGTAAATATTGTGTACCTATTCTTTGTTTCAATACATTTTGTTAACGTACATTTTGTGTTGTATTATTCCATGCTTATTTAAGCTTCAACAAAAACTTTATCGTATGAATATAACGAGACATAATTTACGATCTCTGGTTTAAAATTTATTTTTGGGATCTTTTTTTTTCTCATTTAATTTTCACACACGCACAAAGACATACACACACACATACTTACACACACACACACACACACACACACACACACACACACACACACATATATATATATATATATATATATATATATATATATATATATATACACAAACACACACATAAATACACACACACACATATATGAAGAAATATAGTTTTAACGTGTGCTATATTTGTGAGTAAAGTTCTCAATATCAGAGATAGAGCGTATGTAAATATAAATATAAAAAAAACATAAAAGTGAACAGTGATCAGGCTGTTTTATGCTAGACGCAATCTTCAAGCCTCGAGTATTGGATTTTTCCTCGACTATTTATATATATGCGTCAGTGGTGCATTATGGGCAATCCATTTTGGTTGTTATTTCGTGGGTGTAGCGTGTTTATTTATTTGGGTTAATTTATATTACTTGTTTTTTACTTTTCATTTTTATTTTTCATATTTATTTATTTTTTCGGTTTTCTGTTTTATTAAGGTGTTAAAAAAATGTGGGGGATTTGCTTATGTCGCTTATTATACTTATTTATTTATATTTTTACTAGTTCTAACGGATAGCGGGAGCGATTTGTAATTTGTTCAATTATTTATTTATTTATTTTTGATTTATTTTTTCTTTACTTATTTTCTTATTTTTATTTCTTATTTATCATTTATTTTGTTTATTTTTATATACTTTATTTGGTTTTCGATTTTTGAGTAACGTAGTAATTTTTTATCGGTATATAGCAGTTATAGCTATTATCTCCTTCAATTTTTGGATTGATTGTTGAAGTCTATTCCAACGGTTATTTTGGCGGGATTGGTTTGTTGATTTGTTTATTGTTTACTTCATTTATTCGGATTGATTATTCTTACTTGTATTTTATGTATTCATTTTCTATTTTTATTTGTTCTATTTCATCTATTATTATTATTTGCTTCGGTTAGTTTATTTCAATTGTTTTTTATATGATTTTGTTTATTTTTGTTTATTCTTTTCAGTTTTCGATTTTTAAGTAACGTAATAAAAATTTGTTTTCGTGCCTGCATTTTGAGATTAGCTCAGATCGTTTATTTAGTAATTTATTTGGGTCTGGGAACATAATAATAGCTATTTTTTCCTCCAAACAAAGTTTTCAGGCTTTGGGTTGATTGTTATAGGTTGATGATCTTTTGCTTATTTTCCATGATATTTTTGGTGTGATTTGCGTTTTGTTTTTAATTTCCCAGATATACTTAAAAAGCACTCTGCTGTTCGCGGATTTACTATTTGTGAAAGATATTTTGTGTGCATAATTTCTTTGTTTCCAGAGTCCTTCAGTTTCTTCTATGTATACTTTTTCTTCATTATCTGATGATTTTACCGTGGCTTGGTATATTACGTTATTTTGAAGGAATTACCGTTTCATGGACATTCATTCTTTATTCTAGAGTTACATGTGTGTTTAATTTGTTCAGGTGGTTTGCTGATAGTTTTCCTGTTGTGACTTTTTATTATTTGTGCCATGTTTTTGGTGCAACTGTAGCTGATTGTTACAGTATTTTTATTTAATATTTTGTGTGGAGTGCTTAATTCCGGAAAGTTAAGAGTTTGAAGAATATTTTACCTACGTTTGTTTTTCCGTTTTTGCTGTACGGTGGGTTGAACCATATGATATTTTCAATATATATATATATATATATATATATATATGTGTGTGTGTGTGTGTGTGTGTGTGTGTGTGTGTGTGTGTGTGTGTTGGAAAAGCAGTTTAAAATACAGCTGGATTCTACAAAATATTTATTTAGGATAACTTTATCGATTTGGCAGTTTCATGATTTCCAAAATTTAAACTGAAATGGAGAGAGTATGCTTATGCAATAATATCTTTTTCACACACACACACACACACACACACATATGTATGTAGGGGATACAGGTAAGATGAGATAGAATAGAGTACAATTCAAACGTTCGTAATATTTAATTTAATAGAGGGCTTAATACAAAGTAGAACATTATTATTTATTTTAGGATATCACACCGAAAACGTGTCAAAATCACTACACAATTGCAGTCGTGTTTCGATGCGTATCAATGTAAAGTGTAAATTATTATCTGCTATTTAATACAATATCTTAATACAATATCTTAAATTTATATATATATATATATATATATATATATATAATCGACTCTCCCGTCGCGTTCGACGTATGAGGGTCAGGCCGATAAGTCCCCAGGAAACCGACATGTCCGACATCGGCACATGATATTTGATTATAGTGGTGAAGGCCTCGTGCAGGACCAGCCACACTTTTGGAGGACGAATACAGAAACCTGGTGCACCGAATGCATACAAGGTTCCCTAAACGACCCTCCGCAGGTTTTGAATTCAGAGTTGTCCTTCTCCTAGACCAGTTGCCATCCAAGGCTATAGAACCCAGTCTGTCCTGCTATTTTACCCATAGCTGGAGGGAGATGAAGAGGATACATACCTTTTCCAAGGGTATTAGCACGTAAGTGAATGTAATGGATTCGACTGGAATTCGAACTCGGCTCTGCGATTCCTCAATCCAAGGATATATATATATATATATATATATATATATATATATATATATATATAAGAGTTTGTAATAATTTCATTCTTAATCTTTGTTAATCCCATAACGTTCTTCAATTCTCTCAGTATCTGTTTGTCCGCTATACATTGATTGCAAATTTGATTTTCTTCATCAGTTTTATTAAAACCCATTCTATCACTATTTTCCCCCACTTCATTTTTAGTTGTCATAGGTAAAATTATTTCGAACTGTTCAAGGATATCAAATACCTATTTCGAATATCTCACCGCATGAGACAGTCTCTTAATACGTAAATAATAAAAAAGAAGTTACTTTTATATATATTAAAAAGCACTTTTAAGCACCTGTATAATGAACATATATATTGCCACACTCAAACGCACACAGCCACAAACATATATATGCATATATATTCAATTTCTATAGTTGTTATATACTAACACAAGCATAGCTGAATAGATACAACTAGAGAGACGTATAGACTGAGATAGTAAAAGGGGAAAGAAAGGTAAGAAAACATACTTTAGAAAAGGAAATAAATCTTGAAAGAAAGAGAAAATAGAGGACAAGAGAAATTATCTAAGATAATGGGGGGGGAAGCAAGTAAAGGCAGAGAAAAAGAGGCAGAAATATATAGATATGCAGAGAGAGAGGGAGAGAGAAGGGGAAATACTGAGTGAAATAGAGAGGGGGAAATTCAAGTCATTAAGATATATAGAGAGAAAAATATAGAAAATGTAGTTTGAAAAATAAGTCAGAGAAAAGGAGCAATTAAGTGATTTACGAAGCATAGATAGATAGATAGATAGATAGATAGATAGATAGATAGATAGAAAGATAGATAGATAGATGAACAAACGAAAATAAATAGAAAGAAATGAACAGACTGAAATAGATAAAGAAATAGATAAAGTGAAATGAACAGATTAAAATAGAAAGAAAAAAAGGAAAAATGAACAGATTAAAATGGATTTAGAGATGGACAGAAATGAACAGTAAAATTATAACAAATGAACAAACTAAAACAGATTGATAAGTAGAAATGAACAGTCTAAAGCAGATAGATAGATAGATAGAGAGATAGATAGATAGATAGATAGATAGATAGATATGAACAGACTTAAATAGATAAATGAAATGAAATGAACACTCTAAAACAGATAGATAGATAGATAGATAGATAGATAGATAGATAGATATGAACAGACTTAAATAGATAAATGAAATGAAATGAACACTCTAAAACAGATAGATAGATAGATAGATAGATAGATAGATAGATAGATAGATAGATAGATAGATATGAACAGACTAAAATAGATAAATGAAATGAACACTCTAAAACAGATAAATAGATAAATAGATAGATAGATAGATAGATAGATAGATAGATAGATAGATAGATTGATAGATAGATAGATAGATAGATAGATTGATAGATAGATAGATTGGAGAATAATATAAGCTGAAATGGAAAGAGTGAAGTAAAATATGTTAAAAAGATAGAAGCAAGTAAAGAGTGTGTCGAGGAAGGCTTCTGAAAAGTAGAATATGATAGAGAGAAAATTCCAGCGATAGATAGGTAGATAGAAAAGGAAAGAGGAGAAATAATGGGAAACAGAAATTGAGGCTGAGAGAGAATGAAGAAGCAGAGTGAGAGTGAGAGAGAGCGAGAGAGAGAGAGAAAGAATGGGGAAGAGAGAGAAAGATTGGTCGTAAGTGAATAGAAATAAAGTAGATCTTTGAAACTATAATGAAGTTCGATTTGAATCGTAATTTAAAAATAAATGCCATTTGAAATAAATATTTTCCATTCACTTGAATCTTCAAACTGTAAGGTCATATGACACCTAAGCTTTTTAAATCCTGAAGTAAGAAAGGCTATTTTCGGTGAGTCAGAACTACAGTATCTTTTTGCTCACTGAGAGAATTTCATTGTTATTTTCGAACCTATCGACTCTGTGTTTGCGGAGGGCATCCGAGTACACGTTCAGTGCGCGTGCATGTAGGTGAATTTACACACTTCAGCGACTACAGTTAAATGAAGTTATGCAATATCTTTTATTTGATGTGCATACAACATGCACAAAGAAGTGCTTCTACATGTGCATATTTGAGTCCAGAAGCACATTTTTGCTTGGCTTTCCTCACAGGAAGCTTTAATAATAAATAAACTTGTGTCCGTGTGTACGATTGATTGTTCGTCAAAATGTGTCTAATTGATTACGCAAAATCAATTTTTTTCTCTCGTTCTTGGTGAGGCTGAGGTTTTATACAGCACTCTCTATATAACAAAAATTAATATACGGCAATTGTCATGTACATGTATGTTAAATCTTTTTTGTTATGAATATTGATTTATTAAATACCTATTTAATTTTTATTTTAAAAATTCGAAATTTGGAGAAATTTGGAACAGGACTATATTGAAGAAATAGATTGTCTGCCTTGAAAATCTGCATTCAAAATCCGGAATGTGGTTCTGAAACCAGAGGATTGGCAAATCAGAGAAATATGAATTTATAGCGCCATCTACAGCAGGCGTATCTTACTCTTGTGTCATAAATAAATACAAGCATAGGTACAATTAAATTAATTTTTTTTCGGTGAAGAGCGTTATTTATTTGGTACACCTCGACCATTAATTTACAGAGATCTTTTCTCTAAGGCACTATTATTTTGTTCCACGTTTATTAAACATAAACTTTCCCGATTGAACGTTTATTTGAACTGTACTGCTTATTTCATGTGTTTAAAAACTTCCACCGGCATACCTATTCTAGTCAGCACATGTATTTGGAGTAAAAAAAGACATCCAGAAAATTAAAATGCAAAAAGAAAACAAAAATCAACAAACTGTAGCGATGAAAAATATATTTTCTAAATTGCTTCGAAAACTTCTTCAGTCTTCAATAAATAACAAAACGAATGTCTTTATTAAGAACTGAAATACCATCTTCACCCC